TATTATTATTATTATTATTATTATTATTATTATTATTATTATTATTATTATTATTATTATTATTATTATTATTATTATTATTATTATTATTATTATTATTATTATTATTATTATTATTATTATTATTATCAGTATCATTGTTATTATTATTATTATCAATTATCATCAATTATCACTTACTACTATTATTATTATTATTAATTATTGTTGAAGGGTTTGCTGATATTATTATCATAATTATTTGCATGAATCGGTCCTGACATCTCCAAATGTTTAGGATCAGGGTGTTTGAGTATCATTGCTGCTCCAGTTTTGGAATTGACAGAAAGCTGACGGAGTTAAACATTTCCTCTGTCATCAGCCTAATGAATGAGTCATCATCATCCGTCAAAATCGCAACACATATAAGCATACGATGATTCATTATCAAAAATTAAAATCATTGTTACATGCTTTTAATAAGAACCATTCGCTCAATGAAATTGAGTCTTTAATATATGCTGTTTATTACTCAGTGATGCTAACTGCTAATAAATAAAAAAGAAAGACGTTACTAAGAAGTACTCACTCAGCAAGGAATCAAATAATTTTTTTTTTTTTTTCAAACGCTATTACTACATCTGTTTTTTGCTTCTACTGCTATAAAGATTTCTAATTCTCAAGTTGCTGCATACCGGTTAATAGATTAACACATAAAACTCACGGAGACTTATGTCACTAATTGTCCGTCCGATGATCAATTTCTCTACAATTGGTGACCTATAGAACCGGAAATCAGATAGTAGCGTGTAGCCGATTTGTTTTATATTTCATGGAATATTTCTTGCTAAACTATTGTTACTCCAATATCACGATGAAGCATTAATGGCGTGATTGATGGATTTTTAACTTTATCAAGAATGTAGCATTTCTAAGATAAGTGAAGAGAAAATTTCACCAGAACTGAAATATTTGTTGCAAATGGGATTCATAAATTCTGGAATGAGTTCATAAATTATATTAATCGTTGTGGGTTGTTCATCAGTGATTTAGTTTCTGCAACCAAAAAAAGCAATTGAAATATAATGATGATTCACCAAGTAATCAGAATTTACTTTCCACAGATAATTTTTATTTGCAAGAAATAACAATTTAAAGAAAGATGACACAAGAGGTGGACAAGATGTCTTGGTATTAAAGTAGAATTCCTTTATTGTTTCGTTGCTTTATTTTGCACTATTTTAAAATCACACCACGAAGAAATATGAGGCAAAAATCTTTTTTTGCTTCTTAATTTCACAAAATTTACAAAAGTTACGTTATCTATCAGTTAAAGTTTGTTTTCCATTAATTTATATAAATCGTTAGCATATTTCATTTACTCATGCAAGATTTCGTGGAGTAACAGAAATATATCCCTCCTATTTATGTATTTCAGCTGTACCACTGACCAATGTCAATAACTCGATTGCTCTTGCTTAGCAACTCATCATGCTGGACTTAGTTATCCTTTAGGCCTTCTAAAGTAACCTTTCATAATATTTATATCAAATAAATGTAAAATTTAATTTTGAAATCACATATTATGCCAACAGTGAATATAAATAGTTCAAATTATGGAATGATGAAACAATTTATTCCAATGTTTCAAATGACATTATACCAAGTATTAGTTTGAGTAAACAGACTTGCTTAATCTAATTAATGGGTCATAATACTAAAGTAATAATCTAACTGTATAAGATATATAATGGATCATTACCCAACTGTACAAGATATATAAAACAGACCAGTTACCTAGGTTTCTAGCTAATATGGTTGTCTTAATGTTACTCGTTAAAATTAGTCTGTTGATAGACAGTTGCAATATTCGTCCGATTCGAATTCAAATTGAATTCAAATACTCTTAACGACATCTTGTAAAAGAAATAATACAACTGATTGATGAAGAAGAGAGCTTGATTTCATTAAACGATTTGTTTTGAAAGACAATTACATTCAACAGTTCTAACGATTCCGCCAACGTTCCAAGTTTTAACATGGTTTTGAAGTGATTGCTTATGCAGCTGATTGCTACAATTAAATAAGCTATTAGCATGGTGCTACCACATTGTTTTTATTATAAAGTCGGTCATAAAAAGATTTAATTTTAATAAACTTTAACAATTTTAGGTTGGAATCAAGAAACAAAGGATGGAATACGAAGAACTTGCATGAAAGTCGCATGGAGTAGTATTTCAAGTATACAATCTGAGCGATTTACCTGTAACTTCCATACATGCATTTAAATTATCACCCATTCGATTTGATGAGGAAATCCGTTTATGGGAAATAACAAATATTATGTTTCGAAAGTTCTGTGGGCAAAAGAAAAAAAAGAATTGGTACAGTTGAAAAGTATGAAATATTTAAAGTGCAAACACCTACAGATAATTGATAAGACATCGATGTACTCAAAAAGTAATTAATTGCGTTGCCTTTTCGAATTTAAAGAATATTCACAGCAACCCGTTTTTTAAGATGATAATTTAAAATTATTTTGATACTTAAGGTGATATTGAATACAGCATATGGCAACAGATATTAAAGATAGCTGATAATATGTGGAAGTGATACTCACCTGCTGAGTGTTTCTGGACTTGGAATTTGAGGAACAGCATAAGCCCATACGTGTAAATGAATTGTCTATGATACCGTACGGGGGTCCTCTTCGTCGAGCGGAGCACGAGGAACACAATACCAGTTGTGCCGATCTGTTTAAGACTATTTAAGACTATGCATTTGAGGTGGTGACTATCGCAATCAGCACCTTCCACGCCCACCCAATCCTATTGATACCTACTATGCACTGCATGCAGCCGCAATAAACGCCCAAGCAAAGACTCATTCTCATGCGTTACTCTCAAACTTTCACTATTGGACACGATGATTGCAGGCCACAGGCTTATTTAAAGATCATTGCAAGACAAAGACAATTGCGTATTCCTCACAAGTTCATGATTTGATGAAACACGTAAGTCTATTATACAGTATTCGAGACATTGTTTAGACAACAACAACTGTTCCTACATCTAGTGGCATAATTTTCTTAATGAGATCAACGTGTCAAGCAAATTACAGGTAAGGGAGAAAGTTCGATGTTATCACCATTCCCATCCGTTTCTGAATAGATCTAAAAATACGAGAATGTTGCAATTTTCACTAGGACAAAACAGACGACATAACTGATTACGGCATGTTCCTCACAATTTTTCCGCATCGTATGGAATTTTCCCACATCTTTCTGATTCCCCATTTTATAATTTAATTAACGAGATCGTCCTGGAAGAAAATGATATTAACATTTTCAGTGATATATTCATCTGTAATCGATTAATGTAATTGATAATTGATAATTCACAATGAAGCAAAATGACCATTTTTCATTCTAATGTTTATAACAAAGTCTATTTAATATAATTAAATTTCATAAATTGTTGGTACCGATATTACATTAATAACGTTATGCTGTCGGAAAGGCTTTAAAAAATGGCAAAGTTATGGGTGAAAATTATTTTTGCTGGATTCAGTCATCATGAATATACTCGATATTGAATTGAACTAACAAATTATTATCATTATAAGTATGCCAAGATGTTAAACGACCTGTTATTGAGAAATAGTGAAAAAAAACTGGAGTTCAGAAGCTTATAAAGTAATATTATTCGGATTGCGAGGAAAATAAAGAATGGTGGCAAATATTTGCTAATAAGTTGCAGTAAATTCCATAGAAAAAATTTCAATGTGAGTTTTTTGTGAAATTTATGGACTGGATTTATCATCGAAAATTGTTGCACTGTGTAAGACTTTTGATTTAGCATCTACAATTGCATTTGAGATTGTTTTTTCTAACCGGAAACTACGGTACGTGATTGAGGAAAATTGCAATCAGATCAAGGGTTGAAACCAGATGTGTTAAAAGCAAATTAATAGTCATAAATCATCCATCCGGAACGATTTCACATTCTCAAGTCAATGAGTTGTTACATAGAATCATGATCTGCAAGAGCGAAAGTGTTTGTATGTTTAAAGAAAAAATTAATTTGGTTTTCATGTCGTTGAAAAAAAAAAAGGTGAATTGTCATTGCTGGCTGCAAATAACTAATTAATTATTTAATAGACTGCCTTTTGGTTTTACAGAATAAATGAAAAGTTTTCCACGTTTCTTGAGTATTTTTGAACCGAAAACAAAAAAGCCTTCAATCTTTGATCAGTATCCAAAATATTTGTAAAATCTATATTGTGATAAGAAAATATTATAACATTGTGCCGTTATAACGTTATCTTTGGTTGTAAAGCTATTTTTTAGAAAAATATTTTTACTGGACAAGATTGGAATCGATTTTATGGATGCATTTAAAATGAGCTGTCAACAATATCAGGACCGGTAACAAGATCGCAATTGAATCGTAATTTCTGCAGGAGATCATTCGTCAACTTCAAAAATTGTTAAGCCACTTTGCTCTGTCAGGACTATTTTTACTATTAATTATCCGAATTGCATGAAAATTTCAATATTTCTCTTTCTGTAAAATTCCTTTTCGCCTGTTCGATCGGTTCTTTGAGTTTTAAAACTAATTCTAAAAATGTTGTATTTCCAAAAAACCAGCCTTTCAACAAGATTCGCTGTAATGGAAATTTATGTTTTTTGTTCGAAAACGTAGAACCAGCTTTTCCAGTAGCATTTTTGTAATATATTATGTTATACTATTAAGGGCTGCAAAAGTTATCAGATGCTAATTTCTAACTTTGAATTTCACAACTCCATTTTCTCTTCCTTTCTCAATTTAATCAAATAATGACTATTATCTATTTATGTTCTAAACAATTTGGCCATGGCGATCATTCACAAACTAAGACGACAAAAATGATGAAACGATGTTTATCAATTTTATACAAAAGATTCCGAATGATTTCCGAATGTGAAATATGTATGCAACATATTTTCAATATTGTTTACTACCATGACAAGGATTGTAAAAAGAAAGAAGGAATGCATGGAAGGAATCATTAACTTGAAGTCATTTATAAGATATTTCTATATCTTATTTCAAGATCAAAAACAATGAATAGGATTTGTCTGGGGCCTTAGTCATCGTGGTTATGCCTTAGAAAAAGCTGCAATAAATTTGAAACTTCTATGATCCTTTTTTTTAAATTTTAAATTGTCAAGTAACTTTTATGCATATTTCGAAAGTGATGGTGCACTGGTTGTCATAATCATTCTTACAAGGAAGGTCGAAGTTTAAACCTGTTTTAATCGCAGAAATTTCAAGTCAAAACTGGTGAGAAAAAATGAATGTACAGTTGAGAAATTCAGTTGTTTTGTACAAAAGATGGTTACATCTATCACAATTGTCGATGTTTCTTTGATGAATTTGGTTTCAATAAAAATTAGAGCATACATTTTTGTAACAAACTACTAATATAATAAAATGCAGGAAAGCAATAGTCACTTATGCTAGCAAGAAAGCTTTAATTTATCAATATAAAAATGCCAGCATGTATTTATCAGATATCAGAAGAAGTTACTGCTGTATCAAAACTGTTCATCCATCATTTTATAAAAGCTAATTTGATACGCATTCATGTTCAATCCATTAAATGAATGATTCATTCTAATGATAACAGGAAACTGTTAAACAATAATAGTTAATAGGTAAGATGGTTGGAATCAAAATAAAGAAGGATTAATCTTATAAAGGGAAGTTCAATGTTTTTTTTTCATTTTTAGAAAATATTTTAGAAATATTTTCTCATCTTAATTGGCGTTTTAGCACTTTCAATGATGTAAGAAAGTTTT